GATGTGACTTCTTTCAGTTTGGAAGATCCGTGCTTACGCTCGCACGTATATGCCGCGCTTTTCCTGGGTTCGTCTCTGAGCAGCATTAAGATTTTCAGGAGTTGTAACCTGTGGAACAATGCACCAAACGGCACGACCATAAGGGATGAGAATTTCAGCCATACTGTTCGAACCTTATGATAAGTTCGTGAACTGCATGCTGTCTTAGTCCCTTTATTGCAAATTTTATTTTTGTTGTAGCTTCTAAGCGACGAATCCACTTTGTTGACCTTTTTTCTGGAATATTTTAAGCTTCTTTAAGGGAATCTCAATTTTATTCGACTGGAAAAGTACTAAAAACTTTAAGGAGTCACGAAAAGAATAAATTAGTCAGTATGTTTGTATAAAATTACAAATATAAAGTCGAATACGTATGACTGAACTTCTCAATCCTTTGTGGCCTGTTGCGTCTAAGAATCCTCACTGCTTTAAAAACAAATCAGGCCAAACTCTGCACAAAAGTAGGACATAGTCCTATTGAGCTGAGTATGGCTGACATCATGCTGCAGTAACCTCGTTAGCACTAGCACCTTTATTACTTTACTTCTGCACGCTTTCGATTTTGATTCAACTAACTGACTTAATTTTAATTTAACTTAATGTTCTTTCGGTTTTTTTTTCGGCACGTTTTTTCATGGGCATCGGTCTAGTGGTACTGCAGATAGATGTCTTCAGCGCTTCTTACCTATTTATTACTTGCAATGTATTGTTTTAGGTTGTCGAAGAAAAACCTCCTACTTTATTTAGCAAACGACGAATGCAAAAAATCTGAGCTTTAAATGTCTTTTCAGGGCGTGGACGACAAGTGATCGCTGTTGCTAAGACTGCTGACGTAATTTTAATGATGCTGGATGCGGGCAAATCTGATCAACAACGTCCTCTTTTGGAAAAGGAATTGGAAAGTGTTGGAATTCGTTTGAATAAACAACCACCTCATATCTATGTAAAACAGAAAAAGGCTAGTTTTTAGATCAGTATTTTTTTGCAGGTGCTTTTATGTACAGCTTTTTGAACAGATTGGGGGAGTCAAATTCACTCATACCACTCCATTGACACATTGCAATGAAAAGATGATTATGACCATCTTGCATGAATACAAAATTTTCAATGCAGATGTGGTATTTCGCGAAGATGCGACGTAAGTCTATTTTGGGTTTGAAAATCTATTTGTGTTCCATGTAATTGTTCCGATATCTTATCATTAGTATAACCATTCTAAATCTATTTGAATGAACACTGAAATAGTGGGACCCTCAATGTTCGGACATTCGGATTGAGTGTCCTGCATGATCAAATATTCGAATTTTTGGAAATCAAACAAGTGCATTTTTTCTGTATTCAGCTATTTAATTGTCCGATAAATCAGTTTATTCAGAATTCATATTACAATACTTTAAAACAAGAATATTCGATGATTTCGCAGGTATTCGAACTAAAATATTCGACATTAAGTTTTACAACTATCTTCGGAGGCGAATGTTCGAATACTAATATTTCGAAGTATTCGACTATTTGAATATAAGCATATGCATCTTTTTGAATCACTATCCAAAAAACCGAATAATCGCTTTTTTCGATGGTCAACCGTTGAATACTCGTATTCATCGTTGAAATTATTCGGTTAAATTATTCAAATATTATGTTTGATAGTGTATTCGTTTCGGCTATCTTACAGTCTATCTATTGTCTGGATGCCGGTTGGGTCATAACTTGAATTTTGAAGCAATGTAATCTCGACTTAGCTCTTCTAAATTTATCTCCTCTAATGAAGTATCTTCAGTGTGGACGAGTTCATTGATGTTATTCAAGGAAATCGTGTTTATATACCTTGTATATATGTATACAATAAAATCGATCAAATATCTATCGAGGAAGTCGATCGCTTAGCAAGGTGAGTGTTTAGGCAGCAAATAAGTTGTCAATTTTATCAGTTGGTCGGGACGATTTGCCAACGTTTTGTTAGCAGCTATGTTTCTAGTATTGTTATCATCTGCTTGAACATTTCACTTTTGAAGCAGTTAGTATCAATAGACCCATTTAGAAGTTAAAAAAAAGAAATTTAAATTCTCAATTTTCTAGAGAACCTCGAACCCTACTTCATAAGTGTACCTACTGTTTTATGTAGAAAGGATCTTCTCAC